CCAGGAAAACTGTGGATCACTATTTTGGGAAATAGAGGCTAAGAATGATTTCAGGCAGGTTTTCCTCATTGTGGCTGAAATTATCCACATCTGGGTCACACAGCAGCATATTGGTGGGAATGACTGTGGTTTCAGCACAGGTGAAGTCAAGGAAACTCCAAAACTGGAAGATTAGAAAATGCATCCTAAAAGTGGATCTCAGGCCTGATTATTTGAGCAAATGACTTGGTGAGGAAGGAAGTACCACTCCAAGCTGCTAAACTGAATTTGGATGCCAAAAGCACCCAAATTGCCTGTGGCCAAAACAGGGCACTTTCATACGTATGTACAAGCTAACAGACTTGTGACAGTAACTTTTCTTGGCAGTGGAAGAGGCATCTAGGTATATGCAAATACCAACTGCTCACAGATAGTAACATCCACTATAAAAGATCCTGCCACTGGGTCCACCCTGTTGACACAGCTTCACCAACCTTTCAGTGACAGAGACCCAACGTTTTTCTAGGCTGCAAGCTCCAAAGCAAACCACTAAAATGGAATGCTGGAAAATGGCCCAGACCTCCCTCTGCACTGCTGGGAAGAACAGAACAGCCTGTGCCAAGATGAAAGGTATTGAAATTTGCCTCATCAATTCTGTAGGTATGTTGCCCAGACCAACTTTCTACCAGGTATTTGTCCTGCATCCCTCTGGATGTTCTTTTATTTCTCAATATTAAATTAACTGTGTCTTGTCTCACCCATAACTGCACGCTCCTCCTCTAATAATTGCATGTTCCTTCTACTTCTCAGTAACAGGCTGAGGGAATTACGAGCTGTAGTTCCACTTGTGTTTTCTTTAGCAAATGTTTTTTTGCTCAGGTTGAGTTATTTTTAACCTGGCTCAATTCCCAAATTAGAATCACTGCTTGGTGGCATGAGAAGTTGTACCAGCACACTTGGGAGAGAGAGGGGAGTGCATATTACAGATGTGAAAGAAGGTCTAGGTGTTCAGAGTGAAGTGTCTGAGATGCAGCCTTGGCTTCTAATTTTTCACATCCATTCACTAAGAGGTCTAAGAAATCGTCCTAATGAACATAAGAGCCAGGGAGGCTGTTTACACCTATGAGTTGATAACACGCTGGCGATCTTGGGAATATATGTGATTTCTTAAGACTTGTCCTCAGCCTACCTTAGGTAGGCAGAGCCATCAGGTGTAGGTGGTCAGATTCATTCTCTGCCACTTGAGGTCACCCCTTTACTCTCTCCTAAAGGCAAAGGAGGAAAGCACAGATGTAACAGCAGAGACAGGACATTTTCAAAGTGCCAAAAAATGGTCTGGCACTGAAACAGCCACCAGTATCCCCGTGGTAAATCCAGAAGAGCCAGGACTTGAGCCTGTGGTGAGTGCATCTCGTCCCCTCAGCAAAAGGAAGGTGGCAAACACGAGCCACTGCTTCTCCAGGAATCTTGTTTTGCCTTCCTGCTACCCAGCTCATACTCTCACAGGTCAGTGACTGTCAGACAACTGTCAATGGCCTGTAGAAGCCTTGTGGGAGGCTCTCGGGACCCTGCAGTTTGGCCCCTAGGAGAGCTTTGGGACTCACGCTATAAGGTTGGGGAGAGGATTGTTTTCTGTGTGCTTTGTCATTATGACACAGGAACTAGCTCAGAAGAAACTCAGTGATAAGAGTTGCAAAGCTGTGACTGTCTCAGGAGCTAAATGAAGCATGGCTTGCAGAGAAAATGAACAGCATTCATTAGTGAGTAAGAGGAACAAAAATGGAGAAGCTTTCCAGGACACAATCCTTTGACACTGAAACAGAAAACTCCCACTCCAAGATAAGTGGCAATGGGAAGACTTACTCTGGGTTTAATTAAATTATGTCAAGAGAAAAAGATGGTTAATAGCTGTAGACCAGAAAGATATACGCTAAGAGCAGAGGTGGCAAGTCCTGTGTGTCAGAGGTAATTCTCACCTGAGGAAGAGTGATGGTTTGTACAGTAAGGCTAGATGGAAACAGCAAAAAGCCATAGAATCAATATCCACATGGTTAGAGCGCGAGTGAAACAAGGTTTACTGAGAGTTGTTTTCATTAGGTATGTTGTAGTTGAAAACAGCAGCTTAGTTCCTGGGATCAGTCTCTCTTAACAAGATTTTTATTTCCCCAAAGCTTCTCTGTAGATTACTATGCTTCTCTGTAAACCAGGTCTTCCAAGGAAAGACATAGTCTCTGAGCAATCACAGAAAAATCCTACTACTTAAAAATTCTCCTCCAACAGAGCAGTAAAAAAACCTCCAAAATTAGAAAAAAATCTGCAGCCTTTTTTTAAAAAAAAGAAAAAAGACAGTTAAAAAAGAGAAAGGTCAGCAAGCCCTATGAAGGCATTGTCTATGCAGGCAGCATTTAGCAGCAGGCATCCCTTAACCTGACCTAGCCTGATCCGACTGCTAATGGACTTTTACCCTCTGCTGCTGCTGCAGAGCTACCCTGCTCTGTTCTCTCTCTGCAGGGCTGACTCACTCTGCAGTGCACACTCACAGTCATACAATCTGCCACATTACAGAGGACTATTTATGTGCCAGCAGACACCACCTCTTTTAATCAGGCACTCTATGAGTCTGTCATTTCACACTCTGAGCCTGCCTGTTCCTCTCTTCCAAATCAAAGTCAATCCCTGCCAGAATGGACTGCACTCTGATCTAGCATACTGCTGTCAGTAAATGAAGGAAAGGGACCAAGAGGTCTGTAATTTTCTTAGAGACCTGAATCACTTGAGAAATGTGCTGATGCAATACCATCACTGAAGGACTTGAAATTTGAGTTTCCACCTGGGAGTCATCAGTGGGGATCTAGGGCATCGCAGTCAGAAAATGCTTGGTTGAGGCAACATGCTCAGATTGTTAATTTTACTCCAAGCATATTGGCAGGTACTCTGTGCAAAGCATTCCTCCACCTACGCATGCTAACCCCAGCTTTTGTTTTATACTCTGTTCTCTGCCTGCACGTGTTTATATATTAAGTAAGGCCTGACATTCCAAGGCATAAACCAAAAGGCCATTGATGGGATTTTGCATGCATTTGGTTATGTAAGCATCCATCGTCATGCTGACCCTAGTAACTGTCTTCTGCAAGGTGTCACCAAGCTACAATAGGATCTTAAGAGTTCCTATAGTTGGGTGCCTTCAAACTGTTTATTTCTCTTAAGAGATGAGGGCTACCACCAGCATTTAGTTGATCTCTTAAATGCAATTTGCTGATACACTTGTAAATTGGCAAGAAATGAGGCTGGCAGCAGGTTCCCCTTACAGAAAGTAAAACTAGATCTTAAATGTATTTGAAGCTCCAGCCAGGATCTTGCGTCCTGCTACACAAGCAAAATACAATTTCTTGCTCCAGCACTGCAAGATGTACGTGGCATGCTTTCTAGAGAGTCTGAATTCATGACTCACACCCTCTCAGCTGCAAACTCTATCAGACTCTGCACAGAAGTACTGGGAAGGCACTCATTGTAGTCAGTGCTGAGAATTATGCTACAGTTTCCATATATGTTCATGACTCCTGGGTAAAATCTAATTCAGTTTAGTCTACTACTTTTGCTGAAGAAACATCAACACAAATCTGATCAGGAATCTTTCCCTTACCCCAGGCAATGCTTCAGCAGACATCCAGGATTTTCCCTAAATCAGCTTACGCCTCTATACAGCCCAAGCACCACTACTGCTCAGCCTGCCATGAAGAAAAGCCCTTCCAAAACACAAAACCACTAGCACAGAGCCCACCCCAAAGCCAAGCAGCTGACAGCCTATTAGATAAATGCAGACAGATCAGCTTTTCAGCAAACAGAAGCAACCCATTAATTTGTTAATAATTACTGATCAACAATTATTAAAACTACACCTTCATAAGAATCTGTGAAAATACATACTAGCAGAATGATTGGCTCAAAGCTGAAGTCTCCTAAAATGGTCCCGAGTTCAGAGACCAGCTATCCAAAAGGTTCATAAGGCACCATCAGACCTGGACTGGTGAATGCCCCGACAGGTTAGAAGCTCCAGACATAACTTCAGTGAATTCCTTATGCTCTGGCCACAGCTCTTCATGGTACTTACACCACATTTGTTTGCTGCATAGGTACATCAGTAAAATACATGTACAACACCACCACACCTCCATTCCCAACCAGGGCAACAGAAGAGGTTTTGACAGATCACTCCAGATCCCTCAGCATTGTTTGATCACAAAGGCACAACTAGTACCAGGTGTCTGTGTAATATTAACATTTCCGCTTGAACAAAGTAAAGCTTGTCCTGTTCTCTAAGCTAAACAACTAAGATTAAGGGGATGTACTTCCCAAAGACAGTTTGGAACAAGCTCTACATTTGAAAGGGTCCAAACAGGTATTTCTCAGATGAACTTCATCATTGCTTTGCAAGTCATAAATCCTCAGGACAGGAGGTTGCTACAGCATTCATTAGCTGCAAAGGCAGAACTTCACAGCTCAAATACTCCTGATTTACAAGCTAAAAACATGAGTTCTTGAATAAACCCATTTTGTTGATGAGACTATCGTTCAGGTACTTTAGAGGCAAATGCTAACAGTGCAGCTTTCCAACCAGCTAAGTTTCTGCAGAACCAGCACAAGGACAAACTGCCTAAAGGCTCTTCAGCAGCTCCAGTCACACACTGAAGCCTGCACCCTTGCTCCCTGACCCAGGCCATGCTGTACAGCCTATTACATGGAATTACCATGTCCCAGAGCAAAGATACACTGCTTGATCAGAGTGAGCATAGCACTGCAACTGCCTTGCCTTCCTGCTCACCACAAGTGCTGCCCGTGAGCAGCAGCTGGAAACAGCATTGCTACTTGCCCAGAAGAGGGAATGCTTTAGCAGTGATGATAGCATTACTTCTTCATGGTGCTCAGTTACTTCATAAACCTGTCACCCCCTAAAGGAACCCGACCTCTTCTAAATGAGAAGCAAAAACATGAAATCAGAGGCAGAGGAGTCATTACAGCAATGTAGTGAGGAAGTTTTATTTGGAAACATGGTATAAGTTTGTAACCCAACACTGGGTGCACGACTCTGATGCCGGAGCATACGCAGTTACTACTGAAACACAGGAGTGTTTCGGACAATTGCTGTAATAGAACACAAAATTCTCATACTCCAATACCAGGACACTACAGCAATCTTTAGAATTAAAGTTACATCCAAGGAATTCTCTGCACTTACAATTGACCCCACAGTGTAATCTACCTATATATAAGATTAATATATATAGCATGGGAAATTGAAAATCCTTGCTCCATAGATGTATGAACATGTCAAGTCTTTTATAAATAAACATCCAGTGAAGAGAAAAAATTACATTTCTAGTTCATATTTATACATAAAGTACTAACAGCAATGGGTGGAAAATTGCACACAGGCCACCCCAAGCCATGCAGCAGGCTTGGAGGAGCCCATCCAATTTAATATTGAAGTACACACAGGACAGACAAGTCACTAACATACATTGCGCATTTACAAGAGATCAACTACCAAATTGGGACAACTGTACACATTGGAGAGACCATTTCCATTCTGGAGCTTTTTTTTAAATGTGGATTTGTTACATCTCTTTACATCATACCGCAACATTTACTTTGTGGAAAGGATAAGGGCAACAATGAGGCCATAGAGACCCAAGACTTCAGCGAAGATCAAAATCAGGATCATGCCCACAAATAACCTGGGCTGCTGTGCTGTTCCCCGTACACCTGCATCACCCACAATGCCGATGGCAAAGCCAGCAGCCAGACCACTGAGGCCCACACTCAAGCCAGCACCCAGCTGAAGAAAGCTCCTGTAGGACAGAGATTAAAAGAGTTTCAGTGGCAGGCAACAGGACACCCAACCCTTCAACTTCAGGCTAGTCTTTTTTTGCTCTCCCCAAATGAGGTAAGAATTAACATTTCAGCATTTAATGGGAACCTCTTTCCTGAAGAGCTTCTATACTCTTTAAGCAAACACAGTATGTCTCACAAAGCAGATGATTCCTGAGACTCCTAGTTCTGAAAACTTTAAAAAAAAATGGGCAGCTATGCAAGCTCTTTAGCTGATATTCAGGTATGGCTCACAATAAGTGAAGCGACTGGGCCTGCAAGTTCACATGGCCACCCAGCTTGCCTGCAGTCGCTTCAGCCAGCTGCAGGGTTAGCATGCTGCCACAGCTGTACTTACTGCACTCACGTGGGTCTAGCACTTGCAGGAATACTTGTCCCACCAGTGCTGTGTACCCTGTTAATAGCTGCTTGTGTCTCCTACCTTTAGCAACCTTGTACAGCCATAGCACATCCAGGTGATTATTAGGTCTCTTGCACTGCAAGAGTTGGACAGGAATGGTCTGGTTTTCCAGGCAGGGGTACCCAAGGAACAGCCCCTATCAGTATCCTGCCAGCTGGTAGCTGCAAAGGAGCATTTCTACCTGCTGTTCCTTAGATCATGGCTTCTTAGGCCAATGACACTGCTCATCAGCTATAGCTTGTACAGTGACACGGGTATCTACTGTTAGACCTCAGAACCATTGTTTTATTCTGAGAGGTCTCAATCAAGCTGGCTCCAGCTATTCTAAAAGCCAAGAGCAGATTAAGTTTCAGACTGTAGCTGGTATAGAGGCCAAATGTATAGCTTGAGGATTGATTTACCAGCACATAAAGCAGTAAGCAGCATTAATTATTCACTTGCATCTCCCAGGCAACAGAACTATTTAGACAGTCTGATTACAGTCTTGGAAAGACCTGTGTATTCCATGTCTATAAAGTGGCACCATAAAACAAACTTAGCCTCCTATCCCAGTACTGCCTGTACATGGTTTCTTTCAAGCCATAAACCGCTGCGTTATCTCTAACAGTGTGAAGTCTGATCTGTTAGCTAATACAGCAAACTAATTTGGTATCACTACCACTGAGGCTAAGGCATCAGGTAGGACAGTTGAAATCCACTGTATATTGGTGAGCCCAAGTTAGAACATTTAGCATTGACAGTCCTCCCTGGGGTCTTGAGCAAAACCCACACGTTCAGTAGCATCAAAATAGTGACAAGACAAGCTTAAACAGAGCTGACAGATGCAGCAACTTACTTGAATAGTGTGATAGAAGGTGAGAGGGCATTGGCAATGAGGACTGCCACTACGAGGCCATAGATAGCTATAATACCCGCCATGACAACAGGGATGATTGACTTCATGATGAGCTCAGGCCTCATGACAGACATGGCTGCAATACCCGTGCCACTCTTTGCTGTTCCATATGCGGCTCCCAAGGCTGGAAGAGAAAAAAAATGCATTAGACACACACATTCCCAAATACCATCTCCTTCACTAGGCTGCAGCATTAGAACAGCTGAGTCAGCACAAGGAAGAATTGTGCAAAACTAACACAGTCATCTGACTACTTGGTTTGTCAGCCAGGAATATTCCCCTAAGTGATGAGGAAGTGACCTATCCAGAATCCTAGACCAAAGCTAGGTCAATAAAAAGGTGCTGTTCAAACAGTACTGATAAGAGAATACCCTCTTTCAGCTAACTTCACAGCAGGGTATACTCACTAGCAGACATTCAATTCCCTGTTTAAGAACTGAAATTTAAGGTCCAAATCTTAACTTGTTACTTCAGTCTGTGCCCTCACACAGCCCACACTGTGAGGCTCTACTCATCTAACTGACAAGGAAACACAGCAAAGCCTATCTTTCTATTGCAGCAGATTGTGGCCTGGTTGTAAGCCAGATTTTAGTCACTGAGCTTTGAGCCAGTGGGGCTGAGTTCTCAGATGCACCCAGTGTTTAACGAGTTGCCTTCACATGGCATCTTCTTCCACAGAACTTATCTGCCTATGCTTCAGCCTGGGGTTAACCATGCCAATTCAACTTCATATGACATATACTGAGATAGCAAACTCATGTATTTTTTTCTGCACTTTAATTCCTTGCAGAAAGGATACCCTCTTCATGTGTTATTCAATAACCTCACCTGTGGAGGGTCCAAACACTTGTTAATCCACCACCAGAACCACAAAGTAGAGTATGGCTTGTAGGTTAGAGAACCACAACCACCTGAGCCCTAAGGTTTGCTGACCACCTGTGCAAACACTTGCATGCAGACATCAACACAGGAATCCAAAGCTTGGTTTTCAGAGCAGAACATAGGCTTACCACCCACAACTGAGTTGCCAGAAGACTCCCAAAGCACCACCCCAAAAAGTAACTTCTGCCTTGTAAACTTTGTATTAGTCTCACAAAAGCTTCCACAAATACATCCTTCTCTGATTCTGAAGTACTCGGAAAGACCCCTTCCCTTCCAACCTGTAGTACTCTAGGAACTGCTTAACTCTGGACTGCACTCACCATCACCCAAGATATGATATGTAGGTCAGCAGCCATCTACGACTAAGTCCCTGAAGCAGCACTGCAAGGTAGATGGAAGGGTAGGTCATCTTTTCAGACACCATCAGCCTGATACTCAAAGGTAACAGTCCTATTTCACATGAAAACGCCCTTGCCTGCTCTAAAAAGCAACTGGGGATTGCAAATCTTTGCACTGTTCAGACTTACTATTTGAGTTTGCTCCACAGTCTTAAAACTAAGGTTTTGACAAGGGAGAGCTGCTTGTTCCACAAAGCTGCCCTACACCAGCATCCAAGTGTGAGACGGTACACCTTGCCTTAAGAGTTGCTAGGAGGTATTCAAAGGGTTTAGGATATGCGATTTCCTGCTTCTCACTCAGCATTTACATAAAGCCTATATTTGTCAAGATAATGAGCAGTAATCCTCCTGACTTTGCACTAAGAAACTTCAGAAGATTAATAAAGATAGCACTACTGCATTAACACAAGATTCACTGTCAGAAGGAAGTTTTGGTTATAAAAACTTGAAGATAAAGCATAATTATCAACTAATAAATTGCTTCTGTACTAGCGAATCTCTTGAACGTCACTGAGCCAGATGGAAAGGGCTGTCCAGTGCAATTCAGAACTAGAATCCAACTTAGCAGGAAGTCTGAGCCAAGAGCAGAAGACAGGTTTTACCTGCAGATGTAAGCTGAGCCGGGAAACTAGCACACAGACTTAGCCATCAGTGTCAGTGATGGTACTGTGTAAGGGTCTAGCTCCTAGGAAGTCTAGCAAGAAATCACTAACTTAAATTAGGAACCTTTACTGTTGGATGAAGCATCTTCTCGATTCCACTTACTTCCAGTCCTTAGATTCAGGCCTTCTAGATTTCCAGATTGGCTATAGCATTTAGCAGAAACCACTTGTCTTGCCTGGAATGTTTTATAAACTTCTCCAGAAACAGAGGCTCATGAGGGAAGTTCACTACTTAAAATTAGATCAATTACTTCCTCCACGTCTGAAGTTACTTAAAAGTGTTGCAATTAATGCAGTGATGGTTTACAGAAGCTGATTTTACAATCCCACTTACAGAAAGTCAGTCTGTTTAAACTTTTGGGGAGGGGCAGATTACCACAGGTTGTTAAATCCCAATTCTATGCAACAGGCAAGAGCTCATGCCTTGAATTTGGTCTAGGCACATTAACAAATGTAGTCTATATATACTCTCTGGCAGCTAGTTTTCACATTACACTTTTAGATGGCACTGAAGACTATTACACTCCCACCTGTGGACAGTTACAGGTGTTACATATACAGCTTCAGAGCTTGGCACATCTGCTCCCAATGAAGTCTTTATCAGCATCCTGACCAACAGGCTTACACTGGAGTCCCCTGCAGATGCATCTCCTGTATCTTACAAAGGAGCTTGTCTTACTGCTCTTCACTAGCCTAAGAAGTTCTCCTTGCACCTTTGACAATACCCCAATACCAGAGTCCAGGGGGCAAAGATATCCACTTCCCACCATGACACAACCACCTAATGGCACAGCTATTCAGTTATGGGCTATCTGGCACTTAGGTCAATCCTTCTCACACATCTTGACTTGTACCTCTTGGCAGCTGTGAATGTTTGAAGCACATATGGTTCATATGCTACATTTAAATATCCCAATGAGTTCAAAGGACATGTTTTTTAAAATCTTCTCAGTGAATCGAGTTTGAAGAGATCTATGTGGAAGACAGTAAAAACGGAACAAGAGCTGTACCACTGTTACATGCCAAGACTCCAGATATTTGCTTCATATCGTATAGCTCCATCACTTCTAACATACAGACCAAAAACTGCAACGCAACCTTTAAAACATAAAAACATGGAGCTATCAAAACAGTTACCTGGCAGTCAGAGAAGCAGCACTTTGCCTACCTAACTCTGTCACAGAAGAAAGCCAATCTGGTCTATAACCAGGAACCGTGTCATTTACAAGTTCACTGATGTTACAATACAGAGAAGCTGTTTTACACCATCATTCAAGACTACCTACTCCCAGTAAGACTGTTTCAAAGGGTAACTTGGTTTTTAAATACTTCTGAAGAGTAACTCGAGCTCACAAGGCAGAGTTGACTTAGCACTGCTCCTGGGGGCAAAACACAGTCCCACAGGGCTGTGAATATGCTCTGCATGGCACCTTGCCACAGTTATTTCATATTAGTCGAAAGTGGTAGCAGAGGTAGTATAGCTGTGCAGCTCCAAGGTGAACTAGAAAGTAGCTTGCCCTACAGGCAACAGCTTCAGTAAGGACTGAAGACTAGTTGTAGTCCTGCCACTGCCAGGACTTTCAGAGGAGCTTTGCCTCTGATATTCACTGTCAGTAGTCAAGCACAGCGTGTGGTTTAGATCAAGTGCTAGTCCAAGTATTAGGACCAATCTTCTGTAGCCATAGTTACAGTGCTCAGTCAGTTCATGCACCAAAAACATTAATCTTGCAGCTAAGTTTGCTGCAAGTCACCTCATGCGATGCTCCCTCAATATAGGAAGAGGCTATATTACAAAATGCCTCACATCAGTTGTGCAGACATATGCAGCACCTGTGGACAGTGACCACATTATCAAGGGCCTTCAAGCCAGGGAACCATTTACATAGATGCTGTTTCAGCAGCTGCAATACATTCAGGCATGCTCAGCCCAAGAATACAGAGGTTCAGAACCAGTCACACACTCCAGCAGTATTTGGTCCATTCAGAGTCAGTGATTTCTCCTGGGACCCACCATGGAGAAGCAGGTTTTCACAATGCAATATCTGAGATTTTCTGGGCAGTAATAGGCATAATCACCCCACATTAGGAAGTGAGCTAGTAACACAAGTCAAACTTTCAATTAAGATACCATGGGCTACTATCATAACAGGTCTGAAAGACCATTCTGGATGAGTACTTACATCTGGAGCCTTTTATAATTAATCCATTATCCAATGGGCTGCCCTCTGCAGTAGGTAGGCTTCCCCTGAACCAGACAGCACGCATCAATTCACCTCAATGCCAGTTCATCCTTGAGCAGATTGTTCTTAAATGTTTGGAGAACTGTTAGCAGTGATATCTATGTCAAGTACAGTCCTTGCTTTACCATGCCAGAAACATGAGCATTTTCAAAGAAACAGGCTGCTTCTCACTGGTATTCCAAGGCCCCTCCCACACTACCACATTTAACACAAGCACAGCCCTACCTCAGATTACTGTAATGGATACTCCATGGCTCTCTTGGAAAAACCCTGTTGCTATGTCCAGTTGCACCTCCACAGAAGACACAGCCACATCAAAGGAACTGTATCTGGAGCCTATGCAAATTCAGATCACACTGACTGAAGACTGGCTATAACCAGCCCCCCAGTGATAACTGGAGGGGTAAACAGATAAGCTGCCCTACAGAAAGCTGTAGACTTTGAAAATCTTTAGTGAATCACCTGTTATAGGATTAGGGGCAGGATGTTTTCTGTTTTTCCCTTATGTTGAGCACATGTGGGGATTTCAAATAAGCCTAGCACCATCAGCTTACAGCATTATCAAAAACAACCTTCAAGGCTAGCAGGCCATTTACTCTTGTTCAGTAAATTTGACAACTTAATAGTCTACCAGCTCTTTGAGAAGCTGCTGCAATAGCAGCAGTCGAAAGGAAGAAGGAGTTATCAGTCAACTGTCCAAGCAGCTGGGACTCCTGCAGTTGGTACTCTGGATTGTCTAACATCACACAAAGCAATTTTAAAAAAAAAAAAAAGTACGGTAATGCTGACACATTGCACCAGAGTACAGGCTTGCTCTTCTACAAGCAGCAAACTCCAGTCACTTGTTATTTATCATCATACAAACTTCCCTGCAAACTTAAAGATGACCCATTTCACAGACTGTGTGGACCACTGTACTCCCAGTACTGACTGGCAGAGTAGGTTGTCACACTAGACCACTTAGCAGGAGCTCCTCTTCATCTAGTCTAACAGCAGCTTACACCACTCACCAACAGGCATCCACAGCTAAGCTGCTTCATTTCTGAAATGTGGGAAAGACAAGGTCATCTATGGCTTCCAGCACACTCCTGTGGCCAGAGTAGCCTGACTTGAAGCCTCATCCTCGCAAGATTCGCTGTCTGAAGGCATCAAGTTCAAGTTATGCCTTACTGTTGGTGAGGACAGCAAGCAGGTAGAAGCATGCAAACTTCATTAAAACCATTGTTTCAAGCATCAAACAGCTTAATCAGGCTGGAGACTTTTTCAACTTGTAACCGCTGCTTGAAATCAGTCAGGCTCTGGACAGATGGAAGAAGCTAGTTTTAGGAAGGGAAGTTGACTAAGAGGTCTTGAGGCAGCTAGCATTCATCTCCACTGCTGCTTGGAATGTTCCTGGAGGGGAAGTACCTGTAGACTTTGTAGTCTACAGAGACTTCAGGGTAAGACAGGAGTCCCATCATATATACCTTTAAGCCACAGTACAAACAGCAGCATACCTGCTTAAGCCAAGTTTTGTAGAGCCAATGGTTTATCCCGATGCTCGATCTGTTTTTCAGATGATCCTAAGACTAGCATTTACTGAGTGGAAATGATGCCCTTGTTGAGATGTCTTCCCTTAACTGAGCTGTAGAAATACTGCCTATCTGGTTTACTTCTTTTGCAACACATGTCTTAATAGTCCACTAATTTACCTGCTGTTAAAGATAAATGCTTAAGCTAGTCTCTCTAGACAGTCTGGTAGCTGAACCATTTGACCCATTGAGTTTTCCTACCCATACCATGATGACTTTGAAGTACTCTTTAGTGATTTGGAACAGAAGACTACATTGAGCTGCACTCTGTTCTGCCATTTAATTTTTACCTGCAAGCTACGGCTAAGGAGTCTGCAAGCTCCTCTTAGGATGATATCTACAGCTCCTTACTGAGAAGCAAGCAGCTCTCTACCACCTCCCCACCCCTCAAGAGACAGTATTTCAGGAAGCACAGCTGTAATTTGCCTTCAAGGCTGAAAATTGTTTACAGCCATGATGTCTTCTAGAATAGGACTGCACAGGGCTGTCAGCTGCATCAAGCTAGATGTTCTGAGCCAGCTATTTCACCATGGAGGTCCTTTAATAGCTAACCAGCTGCTACAATATCTGCAGCCCTAGTTTAAAATACAAAGTACTATGGCATTAGCTCTGTAGCAACAAGACGGCACAGGTCTAATCTTAACACTGCTGGCTAGAGTTCTTTTCATTAGCAGTCTTCCAGATGCTCGATAGTGAAGCAGTATTGAAGGCACTGGATGGCCTTTCCAAGTGCAGGTCTAAGTAAAATTCCTTACCACATTATGGAAGCCACAGTGGGGTACACCTGGCACAGCGTGCTTTTCTACACAGAACATCAGCAATTGCAGAATCAGACAGCTTTGCCCAATACCATACTTGTCCATTTTAGCACACCAAAGTTGCATGGAAAAACTGCAATAATCTGATCACTCAACAGCACCTGACACTGAGCCAAACACGTGTTTTACACATAGGAAATAAAGGAACTTTTGCTATCAGAACAAGTTGTAATCAACAAGTGAATAAGCAGGCTCGAAGACAGCCAAGGTCACAGCAGACTGCTTTAATCTTTCTAGCTGCCATCAGTACTAGCTGACCAGAACAAGTTTTGCTATCTATTTACCATCAGCAGTTAATGTTCAAACACCAAACAGTACTGCATAGAGTCACTTGTTTTTACATCAAACTAGCCTGGACAATATAGAACTTGAACATGTTTACTCGAAACAGGTCTCAGAACTACAAGCTCCACAAGAATCTGATCTTTAGATACAGCATGTCAGACATGGTCACTGCACTAATTAACACTGATCTATGGCAGTTTCATATAGTTTTACACTGCTTGCCCAGACAGGTTTAGCTCCTTACTCCTAAATCAGGGTGGACGTTTAACAGCTAATGCTCACTTAGCAGCAGAACACGCTTTAGTGTCACATCCCTATCAGGAAAGCTACATGACACTGCAAGTTTTAGTTTATCCTATATTGATAGCTCTGCCATATTGCCTTGAAAATCTAAGTTGCTTCACTAAACAAATGGTTCAATAACGTTCACTAAAAAATAATTTTGCATCAGCTGTATCTATAATCTGTGGTTCCAGTGACTAAAGCCATCAGATGCACTTAGGCCCTACCAAGAGACTAACCTCATGGCTCAGATCTGCTGGTATTAGGACCACCTGACACAGATTCTGCATTAAGGACCAGTCACGTACCAGCAGCAACATGATAGTTACCAAGTTTTCATCAATATAGCTTAGGCACTCACTCTGAATTACCCAAGTCAAACTTTAACTTGCAATCACACAGTACCATGCTGTCAAGCTCAGGGCTTCTAAGAAATGCTTCACTTCTAGTTTAGACATGCCAAGCCACACTTTGAATTCCTATTAAAATGCTGACTCAAGTATGTATCCCTCACTGAAATTTCCACTGAAGCAAGCTTGCATATCACAAAACTAAAGTCCAGAAGGCCAACCATGTTCTTTTGCTTCTGAGTTCAACTTTGCAAGAGGAATCCAGTGACTCCTTCCTCAGGAAGAAAGCTCAGTACTTAGGACCTTCATCACTGCAATTTTGCAAAAGGCAGTAATCTGCTGACGTTTTTTCCAACAAGTAACTAGGCCTTAATCTACTCATCCATTATTTTCATTAGCTGAGAGGCAGGTAGGTCAGTAGTTCCAACATTGGCTCCAACGCCATTCCAGCTATATTTTTTTCAGGAAAGTCCTTACCCATCAAGTGCTAGTACAGCATTTTTACTCCAAGGTGGCTGGCCACTAACTGCCCCCAGCACAGGACAGTTGCATCCCACCGCTGGGTACAAACTGAGCAAGACTGAACACAGCCAGTCAGGAATTTTTTTTTTGCCAAGACTAAAGCCATGTACATGGCTGGTGTGAAATCAGTCAATGGTGCCAACACCAGCATGGCCAGACAGCTTCCTCTCAAACATTAGTTTTAATTTGTCTACTTAGCTATTTACACAGTTTAATCTACCATACTAATCAAGAGCAGCTTCCACAAATTTGCCTTGCAGACCTGGCTACCATCTCAGAGGCTATTTGAATATGAGACTCCAAGCACACAAACAACTGTATGTACAAACTACAGCCAATTCAATACTTGAGTGTTTTGATTCCTCAACTACGAGTCAAATTAGCAGGCAGATAAAGACAAGTCAGTATGCTCACACATGTGGAGATACTGGCTAAGTCTTCAGAAGAAAAAAACAGACTGATTCCTAGTTCTGGTATTACTGGTTACTGTAACACTTGCATTTGGGAAAAAAAAAAAACTAGCTGGAACCTTCCCCATGTTACATCCCAAACACAATGGCAGGTCTGCATCTACCAGGAAACAGTAAATCGTCAGGGACAGCAGTCATTTTCTGCAGAAGGTTTACTCAGGCTTCAAGAGAGGCAAGGCATCATATGATGGTCTTTCTAGTGTAAAACAGCATTTATGGGTCTCTCCATAAAACATTCTTCAATAGGGAGAGTGATACTGCAGCATGACCCAATTTACTCCATGCTGAACCTCAATGACTTAAGGTGCAGATGGATGACCACTAGAAAAACCTCCTTCTTCATTACTTCATGCATCGCCCATTTTAAAGGGAAGGTCAGGAGCCTACTGTCTCCTTTTAATGTCATTAACATCTTTACAGCTGACTACACTCCTAACATTTTTGCATACTTCGGTTTCAATACCACTACAATTTGGTCTGGCATTAGCCAAGGGATATTTTAAAAAGCAGCTGTGTCCTATTTACAGCAGAAGTGCTACACCCAGCCCCAGGAGAATCAGACCAACCCTCCCTGCCGGGATAGCCCATTGAGACCTTCCCACGAAGGAAGACCGGGGCAGACCGGCCACCGAAACGGCCAGAGCCCCAAGGAAGCCCCCGAGGGAAGCCGGGCTCGGCAGCAGGCAGCACACGCCGAGGCACACGTTATCGCAGCCGGGACTACGGCCCACCGTGACACCGGGTTTCTGGTCGATAAGCCCCCCCCGCCCCGTCCCGTCCGGTCACCCGGCCGCAGGGCGGCGTGGGGGTCTGCCCGCGGGGGGAAGAGGCTCCCGGGGCGGGGCGGCGGGAGAGGGCACGGCCGCCCCCGCGGGGCCGCTCCGGGCGGCAGCGCCGCCGCAGTCACGTGGGCGCGGGGGCTCCGCGGTGACGTCACCCGCGCAGACCCCCCGCCGCCGCACCCCGGGAGGAGCCCGGATGGTGCGGGGGCGGGAGCGCGGCCCACCCCCGGGCCCGGGCCCGCCGTCGCCCTGCCCCCGGGGATCCCACCCCACCGAGGACGCGGAAAAGCGAGCCCCCCACCTCCCCGCACGGCGGCCCCCTCACCCCCCCCTCCCCGGCAGCTGCAGGCCCCAGCACCCCCCCCCGAGGGGTCAGGCGGGTGCTCACCGCTGAAGACCATGGCGGCCGAGGCGCCCATCACGGCGAAGAAGGAGGCGTACTCGGGGCTGGCGCTGGAGGACATGGCTGCGCGGGCCGGGGCGAGGCGAGGCGCCGCTGGGAACGGGAGCGCGAGAGGGAAGGCGGTGAGCTCCGCCGCGGCGCCGGTCCTCCGCGAGCAGCGCTCGGCCACAAAATGGCGGAGACGCTGAGGGCGCGGGCGGGGAGGGAGGGAAGGGATGGAGACGGGGCGGAGGCCGGCTGCGGGGGGAAGGGGAGGGGGGGCCGGGAGAGAGCGGGAGGGAGAAGCGGACGGGCAGCAACGCGTCGCCCCGTCCCGGCGGGAGTGCGCGGCGGCGCGGGCGCTGCGCCCTAAATACTGTCTCCGCAGGACAAAATGGCGGCGGCGCCCTCCCCCGCCCCCCGTCACGTGATCCGCCCCGTCGCCACGGCCCGCCCCGCCCCGCCCTCGGCCGCCACCACGCGCGTGCGGGTGGGGGCGCCCGTCCGCCATCCCCTCCACCCCCACCCCCTTCCTTGGACGGCCATGGCCGCCGAGGACGAGTGGATCCTGCTCTTTCCTCCGCGCCCCGTGTCGCGAGTGGGGCGCTTGGCCGTGCTGGCACCCCCGCTCTGTTCCCCCCAACTAGATCTTCCCCCTCCCTCCGCCCGGGTGGGTCAGTCCTGCTCGGCGGCCGCGTCCCGCTGAGCGTGATTCAGCGTTCATTATCATAAGAGGCGTGTCCACCGCGCGGCCCCGCCTCCGCGGCGGCCGGTCCCTCCCGGGCCCGGGGCGTGTGGCCGCTGTGGCCGCCCCCGCATCCCCGCATCCCCCCTGGGCTGTGCCCCCTCGGCCCTGTCCCCTCTCCTCGGTGCCACATCCCCCGTGGCGTGTCCCTCTCCCACCCACCGTGTCCCCAGTGCCGCGTCCCCCACGGCACATCCCACCTGCCGTTTCCCATGACCCCGGCGCCATGTGCCACGTCCCCTGGGCCCTGTCCCCATGTTGTGCCCCGTGTATTCTGTCCCCTCCGCTGCGCTGACCTGCCGTGGGCTCCCCCGTGGGGGACGTAGCAGTGCCCATGGGGCCTTGCTGGTTTGGGCCCCCTCTGGGGATCTCTACCCCCTGCACTCCACCTCCTCCCTGGGTCTGGGTGCTGGCAGCATCCTGCTGCCATTCTCCATCTCCCCCACTCCTCTCCCCAGTGTGTCTCCTTCTCTCTTGCAAGGTGGTGGTTGGTGCCCCTGGCCCATCCTTTTCCCCCCGGGCTGGGTTTGAACTGCGCTATCACCCCACTGCAGGCGCTGCCACCCACGCGCCGCTGCAGGCAGGGTGCTGGCAACCCCTCTCTGAGCTAACCCCATCGCAAAACATCCCAGAGAGATAGTGCTACAGCCTGTCCTAAAAGGATGACTGATGCAGTTTCTGTTACCCAGGGTACGCTAGAAAAAAACCCATGTTAATTCTGGGTTGGGGGTGTTCATGAATAGTTGCCTGCGCCTGCTTTTGCTGCTGCTATAAATCCTGCTGATCTTCTGATGTCCTGAAATACCAGATCTCTTGATTAATTGAGAGCCACCTACCTTTTCCCATTGTTGCCACTTTTCCAGACACCTCAGCCTTGTCAAAGCTCACAGGGAAGGTGAGAAGAGGATTTAAATCCTCCCTGGCAAGTGCCCTGCCTGCTGGTTAAACACAAACAGCCTGGTTGCTGCAGCAGGCAGATGAGGCAGGCACTTGCTGGAGACCAGCTCCAGGGTACATCGGCTCAGAGGAGGAGATGGGCTTGTGGCAGGTTCTGTCGCCAGGGCTCTGTGGGGACATTCAGCACAGGGCCTGTGGCAGGGGCTGGCCAAAAAGCTCAGAGCTGGCAGGAGGGCCATGGGGCACTGCAGGGGTGCCAGAGGGGACCCCATCCTGAGCCCTGGCAGAGGTGGGCACAGGGGCTCTGGGTCCCACACGTGGAGCACACCACCGCTACCACTGTCACCATCATCACTGCCATCGCCACCACCACCATCACTGCCACTGTCACCATCACACCACCACCGCTACCATCCCATCACTGGCACCACGAACATGCTGCTTTTCCTGCAGTGTTGCACCCTGGGATGTGTAGTTTGTCAGCATGCTACTGTCATCATTGCTAGGGTGGTGACTGTTATTACTAATGAGCATTTCCAGCAGTCCCAATTATTATCAAGAAGCCTTTCGCTACTAGGGTGGGGACAATCCGTGGCTGAGAGGTCCAGAGTGATGGGGTTTTGGGTGAATTTCTCATCCCTCAGGCACTGGTGGCCTTGGCAGTTTGTTCACCAAGTTCGGGCTGGTGAGGAACCAACGGAGCAGGGTGGGTTTTAGGGGGCCCCAGAGGACACTTCTCTTCGGGCACTCGCTGCCACCGGGGTCTCCCCGTGCCACTCCTGGATCCCGCTGGGCAGCCCCAGCTGCCCAATGGAGTGGTTCCCATTGCCCCATGTGCTGTAACACGGCTTTCTCCTCCCCTCATGCCCGGCGCTGTGCCGCCTGGATGCCTTGGCCCCAGTGCCCCTTGCTGGCTGGTGGCTCCCTGCAAATCACCCGGCACCGTCTCTGCACTGTCGCTCCCACCCACCCGGCGAGCAGCCGTCGCCAGTGAACAAAGAGCCTCCTTGTAGCAGCAAGCTCACGAGTTGTGACGGCGGCGGAGCTTTGGGGATGCCGTGGCTCCAGAAGGGCTGAGCGCTGGCTCCGTGGGACTCCCAAGGGCTGAGCTTCCCTCCTTCCACCCTTTGGAGCTGCAGGACACCGGGAGCCTCCTTGCCCCTGCACCACGGTTGCAGCCAAAACCCCAGGGGGCACGAGTGTCTCAAGCCAAGCCCTCTTGCCCTTCACCCCCTTCCTCCTCCTCTCCCCATTTGGGACTCACTCAATGTCTCTGGGTCTCAGTTCTCTAGCACCAATGATCTACTAAATTGGGGTTTCGCCAGAAATTGCTGATTCATAGAAAGGACTTTTTTAATGCTTTTGACAATGCTTTCTTCCAAAATAATTAATTTTACATTTTCTCATGTGCTCTGTATTTATTTAGGCCCCCTATGCCCTGCTCATCTCTCTGCTGCTAGAGCTGGCAAGACAAAAGCAAGAAGAGGTCATGGGGGGGGGGGCTGGTGTGGTTACTGCTACACACCCCAGTGCAAACACGCTCCTCTCTCTGGGGTGCACGTGTGGGGAAGGTCTGGGTGCTGGAAATAGGAGCATCCATCTCCCTCCATCTGCCCGGGACAGCCTGGTCCTCCTCCACTCACCCCACACGACCCTGGAGTGCCCATAGCCAACGGAGGGGCCGTGTGCCGAGCACCCACCCAGGGGGCCTGCTGAGTCACACCGAGGGGTGGCTGCGATGGGTGGAGTGGGCGGACGTGAGGATGCACAAAGCCCGTGTGGGCCAGAGGAGGGGAAGAACCATTTGGATGCTGGTGACAGCACGTGTAACCTCTTTGGGCTCCTTGTGCCCAGGTGCCAGGCGAGCTGTAGGGGGTACCCAAGAGTAATTTAATGCTATTCAATCCTTTCTACACTGTTACTGTTGAAAAGCATGGTATGTCCACCCTCACTTACGCTCTGTTGCAGCAGCTGGGTCTCCTGGCCTGTGCACACCCAGGTGGTGCAATGGGCACTGCTCAGCTGGGGTCTGTCTCATCCTGCTCCTCAGAGCTGGGGCCACTCTGGATGCTTCACCCCATCCAGTCCCCCGCACGGTGCCACTGGCTTAAGCAGGGTCACCCAAGGCTCTCATACCAGCTCTGCTTCTGCCTTGTGGAGGTGCAGGGATGTTTTCTTCCTCAGGAAAAGGACGACGAAAGGAGGGAACAAAATTCAGTGCAAAACCAGGAGGCAAATGCAATATCAAAGGCAAAGAGCCAGAAGCCCAGAAGCAGAACAACCCAAATTACTGTTCCCACAGCAACCCGCGCTCACCCTCCTCACGCTGCCAGGCAGACGCTTACCAGGCTGCCACCAAATGTGCGCACACGTTCACCATGGAGGCTGTGAGTTTGTCATCTCCAGTTTTGCCTTTTAATTTTGGCCCTGCTCCATGAGTGCGTCCGGTGGTATTGCACAGCACTGCACCAAACACAACCAAAGGGTGATATTAGATTGTCTGCTCTCATCACGAGGAAGGGAGCAGAAGGTTGAGATGGGCTTTCCAGGAGGTGCAGGCTCTGGATGCCACCAACCTTTTTGGAGGGTCCTTTCTCAGTGGCCTTATGGCAGACGCCTTTCCCACCACCCTGGGACCATGCGTTCATCTTTGCACGGACAAAATGTGCTGGGGTGTGATTTAACACGGGGCCCCAGATTTTGTCAGCTGCTTTTAGCGAGCAGGAGCCGGCCGCAGGCTGCTCTGTGCTGCCGTCTGGGACACCAGGGCTGCTTCTCTGCCCTGACCCTGGCTGGTTTTCAGCAAGCAGGATCAGCTGTTTGCCCGGGGATCCGTACCCGCTCCAAGCTCCTGTTCCTAAATATTGCAGTGATGCTGGCGGCCTTGCCCATGTCCTGAAGCAGGGCTGGAAGGGGTCTGGAAAGCCAGCTGGGAGCACCCTGCCCCTCCAGCAAGTCTGGGCACGGAGGTGCGTTGCTGTGGGACAGGGGTGCTTTGGCTGGGGGTGCTCTGACCACCTGGCCCTCCCAGGGGGATTTGGTGTTAATGTGCTACAAGTGCTCTGTAACTCCCAGGTTCCCCCACAGCTTGGTGCCTGGCAAGCCCGGGTGGGCTCTTGGCCAGGGAGACGGGTGTCTGACAGGGTCAGCAGAGCTGAGCTGGTGCCAGGAGGGGGGATGGCAAAAGGAGGGCTGACAGCGGCCTCGTCACTCTCAGCCTCAGCGGCAAACACTTGCCAGCGATGGAGCAAACCTAGCTGGAGCATTTCCTCATTTGCTGTCTCCTGTGGTGTCTCCCCAAAATCACATGGGCCAGAGTCACGGGGCTTGGGGGGGCGACTGTTCCCTGGCTCCTCCCTGCTCCCCATGTCCCTGGGGTCACACCATCTCCCAGGACATCGGGATCTTGGACGATTTGCAAATGAGGTTCCTCTTGCTCTGCTTGGGTCTTAATTAACTGATTTCCATCCTGAGCTGTTAGCTCCTTATCTGGGACACTACCCAGTGCTAGACTTTTTGATAAGGCAAATTAGGGGCATTCTATTCTATTCTATTCTATTCTATTCTATTCTATTCTATTCTATTCTATTCTATTCTATTCTATTCTATTCTATTCTATTCTATTCTATTCTATTCTATTCTATTCTATTCTATTCTATTCTATTCTAATTCTAATTCTATTCTATTCTAATTCTATTCTATTCTATTCTATTCTATTCTATTCTATTCTATTCTATTCTATTCTATTCTATTCTATTCTATTCTATTCTATTCTATTCCATTCCATT